ATCCAGGAGGATAACCCAAAGCTCAAATCATCTCAGACTGGCTTCTTGAATATGAATGGGATATTTGCATTTCGGACATGCAGCTGCCTAATCTGCAGCACCTGTGTGATGCTGTCATGTCAACATGTCTGGAATGTTTCCAGCGTCTTGTTGAATCTCTGCCATGAAGAATTAAGACCATTCTGAAGGCAAAACGGGAACCAACCCGATACTAGCACCGATTGGTGCACCTAATAAAGCTATCCTGTGAATGTATCGGTCGACTGAAGGCAGAAAGATGTTGATGCCGTTTAGATGTTTGGATTTTCTGATTCCTTATCGTCTGTCTTAAAGTGTGCTGTTGAGATCCATCGCTTTTATATCCACAAAAACAGGATAACAGTAGAAGAACCACACTGTTCCTGATCAAATAAAGAATTCCCTGCAATGTCTTTCAAATGAAAATATAATCTTGACTTTCAATGGAGACTGATCTCTTCCTTTCACTGGAAAGTTGACTCCTCTGGCTTTTTATGCTATTAATTGTAGATTGTGTCTGTTGGAACTGCTGATGTTGACCTCTGTTGTCTGTACAAGTAGTGAGGTTGTGCTCTGCACTTTAAATGCATTCCTTAATATGATTTCATTTTGATATGAATAGTTTTTTTTAGGAAAAGAAGACCAAACAGCCAGTGTTTGCAGCAGGAAAATAACTAATTTAATTAAGTCTTAATGGAGAGAACCACTGTCTTTATAAAACTCCATAAACTATTTTTAAAGAGGCTGATTATGCTGTTATGGCGGTAATGAAGGAGGTGAAAGTTTCATGAGTTAGAATAATTCAAGGATCCAGCTGTCTTCTAATTAAATTACCACAAATTAATTATAAAGCCGTCCAATTTTTGTTCAAGAAAAGAATATTTGTGATTCTCTCGTTATCTACTCGGCTGTTGTTTAATACTGATTCGATACTGCACATCAGCTCTACTGGTTCCGCGTTGTGTGCGATGATGGTAACGGTGCTTTAATGACAAAGGGTGTTTATGCAGATGCCCGTTGATCGATGGCGCGACTGTGCCTGTGGTGCAGCGAGGAATGCAGCCGTCTCTGCAGATCCTTGACAGCACTTGTCTAGACCTCTCAGAGTGGGCGGGCTCAGTCGGTGGGGCCGACTGCCCAGGTGTGTTTGGGATTCCTGGCAGCTGAATGACTGAACCGTCAGCGAGAGAGAAAGCAGCGGTGGGGTGAGCGTAGATCTCCGAGGGTTGGCTGCAGCGCTGCTCAGCCGTCCTCCACATCAGCTCGCCTTCACTGGCTCTCAATGGAGCGAGAACAAGGGGATGGAGACACGTCCCCGGGCGGCCCCTCGGTGATGGATTACACTGCTGAGAACAGATACACGGGGAGTGACTGCAGGTTCTGGCCTTCATGTGCTTCAGTAGCTGTGAGGGGGTGCAGTGAATTCTGGACTTTCATCTGTTTATTTATTTAAGTCTCAGACTACATTAATCTGCAATGGGAATTTCCATTTGCTGTAAGATACCCAGGTTACCTGATTCAGAGTCAGGTTTACTGCTTCAGCATTTAAATTCTAAGTCAGGTGTTATTTATAACAATTTAATAATATAAATGATAGTATATTTCCTGCAGTAGCAGTAGCGAGACTGTTTAGATAAACACAATGGTCAAAACTGGCCATGTTAAGGCTCTTTCATATTGAAATATGACACCAAAGATATATTGCTAAAAATAGACATGCTCACCATTATTTTTTCCTTTTTTTGTAACATTTGTGAAAAGTCTGTATTACACAACCCCTCTTGACACATGTTTGCACGCTTCTTTCTGCTCTAACTGGCCAACATGTCAAAATAAATCAAATGATGGCTCGGCAGAAGCGAACGAGTGAATAAAAATGAACCGTTTCGCTGTCAGGAATTCATTTTTAATAAATGGGAACACATTTGGGCACATTTTGGGCAAACTCTAGGACACTTGTATAATAAAAATAAACAATATAAATATGATATCGTAGATTTAGTAATCTAGAAATTGTTTCTGTTAGTCCACATTAAAGGGGGGGAAACAGTTGTAGTTGATTATGTGTTAATTTCTGATGCTTTTATTTGCTGTTTCATTTCACAGTAATGCACTTGGTTAGAAGTAGAACGACTAACAATATTAAATTTGATTATGATGCTGCTTTTTATTTTTTTCCTCCATCATCATCTAGTGCTGTGTTTCGCCACAGGTCAGCAGGGGATAGTCTAACAGCCAGTTTGATCATGGTAACAGGGAGACACAGGTCCATGTAAACAGTTCAACCTGGGTAAGACCTTGACCAAAATATGGCCACTAGCCAGGTTGTAGTCAGATCCCGTGAATGCAGTATTACATTAAATGATATCACTGATTTTGGTTGGTTTCAGGTTTTTCACCTGACCAAAAAGGGTTTTTAAATTTTGCACGAGCCCGAATCCAAGTTCCTGTCACGTCTCACATACCTTGCAACTTTTCTCCTGTTGACTTTTTTTTTGTTAAAAATGCAGTTTTCCACGTGTGTGTATCTGCACATGTGTGTGTGTGTATGCGCGTGCGTGTGTGTGCACGGAGCCTAATTAAACCATGGCAGCCATATGTGTTAATGAGCTCTCTCATTAGGCAGTAGCTCTCCTCGTTAGGGGGAGAGGCGTCGCTAGCGGTGGAGAGACAGAGCGGCTCTTTCTCAAGCTCCTGCTGAGCTTCGCTGTCCCGCTCAATGTAGAGGGGGATTATCCTAGTGGAGGGTTAGCGAGGAGAGAGAGGAGAAACATATTTCATTCGTTTGATTTATTAAATGCCCTTAAAAAAATTAACATGCATTTGTTTTCTTTAGCTCATGGGAATACATTTTTGAAACCTTTTGCAAAATGTTAGCAAAGGATCATGCGGTTCAGTTTTAACTGCATAAATGGTGATTAAAGGCTTGTTTAAGCTAAACATGTGTAACGACGAAGTGGACAGCTGATAGTGTGTGTGAAATCAAAATGTTTTGATCTGCTCACCTGCTGATCCACGTGAGGTTTATCAGGTCCTGACAAATGACTTTCTTGCCGGGGTTTATTTAGCTTAACTGCACTGAATTAACTTCGGTGATGAATGGTGTGGAAAAGTAGCCTGCCTAGTGCTGCATAGGTCTTGTGCTGACTGGCACCTGAACGGGGTTGGAGACTCCGTCAATGTCTTGGGGTGTTTGTCATGTTCCTTTCTTAAGCACATTTTGCTGGGACCCTGGCCAGAACCTAAAGTTTTCAACAGAAGATTATAAATATAACAAGATGATCCAGCTTTTATTCACCTTTATTTTAAAATGTGTAGCTGGTTGGTCCCTAAACACTCATTCAGTAGCATATGTGTGTTTGTTGACTATATATGCAGCCCAGGCTATGTTGCACTGTGTTGTGTGTGAGAACCTGTTGCTTTTGCCCATGGTCTGGGTGTATGGCTGACAACTGACTTGTTTCTTCTTCTCTGTTTCCCGTCAGGCTCCCTCTCCTGCAGAGACAAAAGAGGCTCGTCCTGCCTGTCCACAGTCTCGTGTGTCTCGCTGCCTTCAGCCTGGCTCTGCCGCTTGCCATCAGTTTGTTTCCACAGATGTCGCAGGTACTTCATGCCCAATTCTTTTTCTCTTAAGGAGCATGCAGTTGGAGACATAATTATTTGATCCCCTGCTAAATTTGTAAGTTTGAAGTGAAGTGAACAGGCTAATCTTTATGGTCGTTTTATTTTAATTGAGAGAGACGAACTATCAACCAGAGTCACTTGCTTGTTTCCTTGGGGGTATGTTTTGAGGTCTGATGGAAGATCCATCCATGACCCAATTTAATTTTAGTGTTCTGGCCGAGAGAAGGAGGTTCTCAGGCAAGATATGACGGTACTGAGGAAGCCGTCTTGTAAACTACGCAGAAAAATAGCCCCAAAGCATAATGTTTCCACCTTGACTGTGGGGATGATGTTCTTTGGGTCATACTCTGCATTTCTCTTCCTCCAAAGATTTTTGGAACTGTGTTATCAATGGTGTTCTTGGTGACCGTGGTCCCAACTGCCTTCAGATCATTAACAACCTCCTCCGGTGTAGTTTTGTGCTGATCCACCACCGTTCTCATCATCATCCTCATCCTATGAGCCAAGATCTTGCATGGAGCTCCAAACCGAGACTGACTGATGGTCATTTTCTATTTCTTCCTTTGATTTTCTCTCTCTGCATTAAAATGAAAATACCATAAAAAAGACAGTTCATTTATTTTGAAGTGAGCATACTTACAAGTTCATCAGGAGATCAAATAATCATTTCCCCCGCTGTAATTTTTCAACATTGAATAAAACAGAACAGACTTAAGCAGGGCTTTATATTGGGTCTTCTAAAATTGCAGATATGTTGGATGTGTGTTCGAGCATATGTGTCTAAATGATGAATGTTTGAGTCTCTGCGGTGGCACAGTTTTTGTTCTCCTGCCTAATGCTCGGATGCTCATGCTCAGTCCTGAGATTTTGTTCATTGCAAACACAGAGCTGCAAATGTAAAGCCTCAGGTTGAATGATGATGTCGGTGACCAGCGTCTCCTGACCTCTCCAGTATTTCCCATTGAGCTGTGCAGCAGCGCTGTCCTAATGAGGCGCCGCCCTCTGAGACTCAACCTGCTCTGTTATGATCTGCCCAGAGCCACCATTGCCTTTATTCACCGCCACTGATGCCATCCAGACTAGCGGGCTGAGATCTAACTTTAGCCTTATTGCCTCAGTATGTATCATTCTACTCATTAAACGGCAATGGCACAATTATGTTTTTCCACTCCATCTCCCTCTCTCTTTGTCTCCTCTCTGCCAAATGACTTGCTGACACAAGCCAACCAGCTCTGGCTTTAAAATGTTTAGGATTTAATTACCACTTGAAATAGCTCAGACAGCCATATGGCAAAAAACTTCAGACATATGTGCCGCCAACAGTCCTGTGAAAAGCTGCCTCCAGTTCCACAGAGGGGCCTGTTTTTTCTTCTTCTCACAAGTCCTTTTTGCACTTTCACAAGGATAGCAGATGAAAAAAAAAAAGGGAAAAAAAAAAGATCTCCCCAAAAAGCAACATGAATGCCCCACTCTCTTGGACCCCCCGCCTACTCAATTTGTCCCACTTCCCCATTTCACACCTACCAAGATGTCTGATTAGGATTCTGCCTCCAACTCCAACAGCCATCTGTCTCTGGTTCAAATATTAGGTGATGCAAACCTCAAATTAGACTTTAATCTGGCAAATTGGCTCTTTTTGCACATTAGCAGTAAATACAGAACATTTAAAGCCTTTGAGAATTACAGTCAGTTTCCAGTCTCTATGCAGCGGTTCGTGTCGGTGATATACGGTTGCATATACAGCACATACTGCATCGAAGCTGTTATATCTGACGATTTGTGCGAAATATTTCCATTTGCACTACTGACCTTTTCTGTCCTGCTTTGGTTTCCCACAGATCAGTGTAGATCAGCTGGAGCCAGAGATCGCCATGGCAACTGACTGTAAGATTGTGACATACAATAAAGGACTTTGAGTGATCGCTACCAAAACTGAAATGTGAAGAAAGTACGCTCGAGCCGCCCTGACGCTGCCAGGGAATTAATTGTGTCAAATTTGGCTGCTGCTGCAGTGGCTTTAGCACACGTTTGGACAACAACAGCTGATACGAAGAATCAGCAGCAACAGTGATAAGAAAATATGTATCACAACACGAGGAGACAAAGCCAAACAAGTGCATTTTGAGGGTAACAGCCCAGTTAGGCTGATTAATTAGGTTAACAAAACCCATAAGCTTGCTTGGTTCCTTGAGGCTTTTTCCACAACGAGCAGACCGCTAACCATAGATCAAAGATGGGCAAATTAAAATGTCTGGACAAATAAATGTGTAAACTGTGAATGAAATGAAGATACAAATGCTTCCCGCCTTTTTTGTTTTGTTTTTGACCCTTCAATATGAGTCAGTACCTTCCTGTGACCCAAGGCGATGTATGTCTATAACCTGGAAGTATTTCAATCAACGTGGAAATAAGAAAGCAGCCAAGATCAATCTTTTTGAATCTGAATGATTATTTTTGCTCTCTTGGGGTGCTGTGACTCACGTTCGCAACTACTGATTTATGTATTTTTAAAGTAGCTTTGCTGTGAATTGCGTTTCTCTGGTGTCTGCACAACAAATATATACACAGCCTGATTGTGTTTGTTTAAGTTTCCTTGCATCTCAATGAGCCAAGTCTTCCCTGTGACCACTATCAGCTTTAAATTCCTCCAGTGAAAGAGTGACTCAGTTTCTAATGAAAAAGTTGCAGTTTTGGTTCAGAGTGAAAGCCAGAACATTATAATTAAGCAAATATTGCAAAAGCATAAATAAATACACAATTGTGACATTTTATCTCCAAATTGTTTCTTTTATTAGTCTTATAACCAGGGACTTCTCTCTCGCTCTCTCTCTTTGTGTACATATTCATGCTCGATTTATCTAAACATTCTCAAAGTATTGAGATGGTTTGCTGTGATGTGTGTGATTAGTATGTTTGCCCGGTTGCTGAGGGAACACAGCACAGTAGGCTGCACTCCAGCGTAATTCAACAAGAAGCCACATGCAGGATCAGTGGAGGTTGCTGGGTGTGAGTTATGGCACACAACCAGGGTGAGATGAATAAATGGAAACAAAACCCCATTCATAACGACGCACATCTCTCACCAAGTTATTGTCATCCGATTTAGTTCTGGCCTGTTAACTGTAATGTCATCTGATGTTACAGAGCACCATGTTGTAGCTTTTGAGCTAGTAATTTAAATTGTAATCCACAGTGGATTTATCAGCATCTGTCTGATTAATCCAGAGGGGGGTGTGGTTGGGTATCAATTGTGTGTCTCTTGTAGGTGAGTATATGAAACCTTTGAGGAAGATTATAAACTGGTAATCAAAAGGTATTGGGGGATTTTTTTAACAGAACTTGAACGATATTGATATTTGTTGGCTGATATTTGCATATCATAAAGCTGTGGAAAACATATGTTGCAGAAAATGTCATGAATTTTTATTATTATTATTTTTTTTAAGAAGGCCACAATTCATTAAAATCATGCGATTTGAGAAATTGTGCCATAGTTTGCCCAGCAGAGTGGTTCCACCGCCATAGCTTATCCCACAGCTGAGACGTTTATAATGCAGGATCAAGGCGTCCCATCACCGGAAGCTGCTTACTAGCTTTGTAATATCTCACTGAAATTCAGTAAATGTATTTTTTAAATTTAACATTAAAATAAAAACAATAAAATAACAAAAATAAAAATTGCTTAACGTGGTTACGGTGATATATTGCATTTATTTATTTCTAATTACATCCAATAAATCTATGTTGAATATTATTTTTCAGCCAGCAAATGTTTTTCAGCGTCATCTCTAAAGGTGCTGTGGGTTGTGCCCTATAATTTCAGTTTTTCAGCTATACTTTGAGCTCCGTGTAAATGCTACCAGGGCATAGTTAGCAGCATTCTTTCAGTAATTAGACGTGTAATTCTGTGTGTGCGTTGCACTGCATGATTTATCACTCAACGAGGAATTTTAAAGCCAGTGTAATTTGTACGTTTTACTGAGAAAACAGAAAGCTGCAATCATCCCCCAGAAAGCAAGTAATGAGAAAATCCTGATTAAACCCACAGTGATTCGGTCGAGTTTTCTAACACCTTTGCAGCAACAACAGCAGCAGCAGCTCCTAACCCTACACGTCTGGAGAGACACTTGTTATTCACGCTGGTTTCCTGCTCTCATCCTAAACTCTCCCCTCTGCTGACTAAGGCGACACGAGACCGGGCGTTTAGGGAGATGAGCTTGATTTTTGCCTTTAATTGTTTTCCTAACAGACGACTTAGAGGTGCAGCTCGCGTTAATTGCGCTGACCTTATAGCTAATCAAGATGTGATTGGGCTTAAGCAACCCGCTCACCGTCAAGACAGCTTTTAGTGTCAGTGAGCTACTGTACTGTATAAAAATAAGCCCATTTGATTGTGTTTGTTTAGATGATTGGAAACCGTCAATGTCTCTTACAATGTATTTGCACCTGCAGTGAGTATAGGATATCCTGGAACTCAAAACAAAACATATGGCCCCTTTACACCTCCAGATGTCTGATGTATTGTGCACCGCTGTTAAAAAAAAAACAAGAAAAAAGTGAGCACTACTGCAGTGCATTTTACTCGTACGTCTCCGTGCCTCTTAGCTTACAAAACAAGTCATCAGGGTCAGCCGTCAGGGCTCATCTCTAAAGCCTCGGGGTCATTAGGCAGAGGCTCCTTCCGTTTCCTTTGACAGGTGATTACTGTGGCAGTTGGTGAAAAGGCTTCTGCACAATGCCAACTACTTTCCCTCCTTTTTTTCCAGGAGTTTCAGCCTCTGGATGGGAATGATTTCTGTGCTATTTCTGCTGGAATTCAGAGGAAATACAGACTGATGGCTAACACACCTGACACCTGTGCAGCTGTCCGGCAACATTCCTGACACATCAATCTCAAAGAGAAACCACCTTAACGGGATGTTGGATTGCACCACCCACCTAAGCTTGCTGCAGCTTACAGCAAAAAGAACAGTAAAATCCTTCATTTGTGCTCCAGTATTGCCGGGTTGTCATTCCCATCACTTGCATGCATCTTGAGTTTGAAAGTAAGACGTAATAAATCAAATCTGCAACTGCAATGGCTGTAATGAAATGTAATCTTGCAGTATCTGAAGTTTAAAAAGAAAACACTTGAGTTACACACACACAAAAATGGCGTATCCCATCAGAGAAATAATTTTTACTTTTATTTCTAAAACATCTTTCTGTAATTACACGTTCCGCTCGCACAACTGTGTTCCGGTCATATTACGTTTTTGTACTACACACAGTGCTGGATGAAATCTGCACACATTCACGATCACAAATGTGCCATGGCAGAAGAAGCACGAAGCTGTGAACTTGTACTATGCAGCTCAAGTTAACCCGAACACCAGAGGTCTCTGCAGCTTCTCATCTGTCCCAGAGTCATGCACAGCTGGCCAAGAGTCACATTACTGTGAAGAATCTTCATTAGGAAGTGTAACAAAGAGCCAAGACGGCTTTGAAGGCGTGAAAGTGGGAATAAAGTCATGCAGGGTCTTTGAATCGTCTTTAGATGTGTGCTCCTTTACGTTATTTTTTCTTTTTGTTTGTCTGTTTCTCCCCAGTTTTTGTTCTTCCGGTCTGGCACCGAGTGCGTCCTCCGACTCACCGGGTGGATTCGTAGTGTGGATCACCTCCTTCTTGTAAGTGAGGAGAAATTTAAATTAACTTGGTACTCAGGTGGCGGAGTAGGGCGAGCGATGAAGTGTTAATGACCTAAGCAAGTGGTAACACCCCCCCCCCCCCCAAAAAAAAAAAAAAAACACGTAACCTTCACTGGTCTATGTACAATTTAAAAAACAAAACAACAAAAACACCATGGTAGAGGGTGTCATGTCTCTTCATGTTTGGCTGTCACACAACTAAAATGATCAAACGATGTCAGAATCTCTCCTCATCCAGAGACAATCAGAGGAGATTTCATTAAATAAGATGCCCCCCACCCCTCCCAGTGTCACAGAGTATAGCACCTTGATGAAGAGATGAGCAGTGATCACATATTAAGTCCTCGAGTCTTCCTCTAATGTGCCTAATTATACTTAATAATATTACATAATAAATAGTATTGGTCCTCTGATGCGTCACAAGCAGATGCAGGGGTAGGGCAGCATTGTCAGAGGTTGGACCGCAGATTTAGTCCTCTGAGGTCACGTCAATGTCCTCGGAGCTGGTCTGCTTAGTGGCGATGCGCCATCTGTTGATGTGGTGGTTCCCCTTCTTCTTCTGCTGGCTGTCTGGTCCCTCCTCCTCCAGCTTCTGTCGCTTGTACTTGGTCCTCCTGTTCTGGAACCACACCTTCACCTGGATAGAGAAAAGCACTCAGTGTGTGACCCGAGAAAAAGGAAAAGACTTAACGAACATCTGTTTAGATGCACATTTTGAGTTTCCCAACGCACAAGCAGCTAATAAGATAAATGATGGCCATGTTGTGGTTTTGTTGATCTAATAAAGGCACAATAATTACTCCTTAAGAAGCTCCCTTCTCTCTTTCTTTATGGCACTACAAAGTATGTGCTTTGGCAAACTGTGTTTCTGACTTGTATAGTTGAAATGCAGTAAGGGAAATAAAATAAAGCAACGCAGTTTATTCTGTTTAGCAAGCGAGAGGGAAAACAGAAATGCACATAAAGACTTAATGACTAAGGATGGCATAAAATGTGTGAAATATCAAGCTTAAAAGCTTCCAGACGGTTGCTGCTGTGACCTTGTAATATGAACCTGTCTGACTAACCCGTATGTAGTCAGAGTACTACACACTCACACTTACATTACTTTTCTTTAATCTTTACTTTGCTCGGCTTTGGGGTAAATTTTTTTTCAGAGCAAACGCTTAAAGATCCTTGGTGCAGTGCAGTCATTTGTGAATGACCTGTTTAGCTAAAGGGGTGGAGGGTGAGCTGCATTATATACGTTATAGTATATTACAGTATTTCGTGCTTATTTCATGACCACAGTGACTTGATTAATCGTATCCAAATTTTCTAACTTTAAGATAAACTGATGACACGGGCCTTGCTATCACCCATGTAGATGCTATCGTTTAATCTTGCTGATCCAATAAAGTGAGTTTATTAGTATTCGTTTGACAGTCTTTAAAATTTGCATAATTCAATTGCTGCTTAATTGCAAGCCGCCTTATTGACTGACACAAACCAGAAACTTGCAAGCAGAATATATTCACACTGCTGACTGAGGAAATATCTTTTAATCTTACCTATTAGGCAGCCTAATTGACACCCACAGAGTGTGGACTCATTAAACTTAAGCATCAATAATATTTACCACAGCTTACGGTAGAGCATACATGAGTGAAATCCCTTTGAGAGACTCTTTTTGCAAAATGTGGGTCAGGTAAATGTTAAAAAAATGCAAGTGCATAGGCCTACAGATATGTCATGTAAGATAAATTCAGTTAATTATTGTTAATTTAAATTTCTAATGTATCCATTATTGAAATTAGAATAACAAGACGAAAATATTTGTATATTTATCATCTCTGTCTCTGAAACATAGTGATCAAGTCAGGAACTTTTTTTCATTTTGGACTTTAATTTTCTGTTTTTCATTATGTTAACAGGTTCACAAGAACTGTTTTTTCTTTCTGCCACTTAAATATATATTTAAAAAGTTTGAAAATACTTATATCAAAGTGCTTGATGCATCCATATCAAGAGTGCTGTAATGCTCCATTTGAAGGATCATTCAAACTATCAGTAGGCTTCAGCTTGTCCAGAATGCAGCAGAGTCCTTATAAATACGCAGAAATTTGAACATATTAAAGTCTCCCAGCTCAGCACAGAATCATCGTTAAAATCCTATTAATTCAGAAAGCTCCAAATGGTTTGGCCGCGCAATAAATCTCTGACTTGCTCCCTGTCGATTAAACCTCTCAGGTCATCAGGTGCAGATCTTTTAACTGTTCCCAGAATTAGATCAAAGTGTGTTGAGAATGCTCTCAGCTACCCGGGTCCTGTTCTTAGGAACAAGCTGCCCTGAGGTCAGTCAGAGCTCTGTCCACAATCAAAGACAAACTTCAAACTTTATCATTCTCGCAGCTCTGCACTTAATAACAGTGTGTGTTACCTTGTACGTGTGTGTTGTGTTTTATATCTTTGTAAAGATTGTTTTGTTATTTTTTACTGCCTGAAGGCACAGTAGACCTACATGGGTTTTTATGTTTTTATCTTTCATGTTAAACACATTGAGTTTACACATAAAATTCACTATACAAATAAAATTGCCATAAACTATTACAATTGAATCTAGTTTTCTGCAATACAGTGCATTCATTCAAATAAATGTATTCTAACAACTAAACAGACGAGTAAAAGCCTATAATATAACATATAAAGAATTGTTGGCTACGTAAGAAAATAAATATAAATTATTTTTATAAATTATTTTTTTAATTATTCTTTTGTTGCTGTCCGTTTTAATGTCGTTGCTTGGGCTTTAAAATATTGGGGCTATTTTAGCTGTAGCTATGTGTGGATAACGTTATAGAAGAGTCCAGAACTAGCCAAATGCTAGTAATAGTTTATTAGCAGTAATAGTATTGACGACAAAAGTAAGCGACGTTAGCAATTAATTTAAACAAGCAAGCGTTAGCTTAACCTACCTGCGTTTCAGATAAACTCAGGCTGTTGGCCAGTTGTTTCCTCTCGGCTCCGACCACATAGTGGTTCTTCTCGAAGGCTCTTTCCAGCCGGAGGAGCTGGGAGGGAGAGAAGGCCGTCCGGATGCGTTTGGGTTTTCTCGCGAAAGGGCCGTGGAGGAGCAGGCTGTCCTGGGACACGTCGTTACCTGACAGCGAAGTCAACGAAACGGTAACGTCAGTCATGGAAAAAGTTCATTCTTATTTTATTTTCCCGAGAAAAAAACAAAACAAGTTATAATGGTTCACTTATTACTGTTTTTGTTAATAAAATAGAATTGACATTTGGAAAAAAAAAGAAGCGTATTAATACAAAAGTTAGGTAACAAAATGCTGTTTTGCACAATCGTGCTATTTATTAGGCCCGTTTGAACGTGGCATTGTAAACTGCCAATCTGATAAAAAAAAAACACAATAAATTCATTTTCTGGTAAACTCGTTAAAGACAGTTTTGCCCTATAACGCAGTTTTAGGCCGAATGACTTTACGCACATTTTAAAAATAAATAAATCGTGACAAAAATCAGGATCAGACATTTATAGTTAAATAAGAAAGTACATGGCTACACATTCGGAATAGAGTCATAAAATAGCACATCATAACACATCGTAATATATAAAAAATATTTATGTGACTACAGCTAAATATATTAAACGCGTCTTTAAAAGTTATTGTCTTTAGTCTGATCTATTTTGCATTTTTTAGGGTATAAGAGGTGAGACTGAAAATATTTTTGAGAATTTTTTTTATGGTCAATATTTCTCAGAGTTATTTTTTGGTGCAAACTGTTTTATTTAAAATAAATGTTTGGGTTTTTGTTTGTTGGTTTTTTTTACATTTACAAATTCTGTTAAATTCCCCATATTACCCAATTACATCCAATAAGGCTAATGTATGTATTAATTAGCCTATGGTATAATTATGATACAGATATTTGATTTATTTAGTTGTTTTTGTTTTGCTTTTAAATTAAGGGGCCCTTTATGCGTTTGCAACATTGCTTTTTTTCCCCCCAAAATGACATTTTCTGTCCAGACAATTACGTAGTTAAAAATTATTGAATGAATAAAAAGATGTAGATTATCTTTCATGTCTTACTAATAACAGGTCTTAGTGCTGTATAGTTATTGGAGGGTAGGTGTGGCTGAGGTTTGTCACCACTAGCTGTGTTCAAAGCCTCTCTGCATCAGATTTTTATTCCGCATCCCTCCCCTCACGATGAAATTATTATGGTAGATTTGATCTATTTTGCCTCTGTGGACTGGCTTTTGTGCAAGATTTTTTAATTAAATGAAAAAAAAACTGTAGCCTCACCTAAGGCGAATTTTATTTTATGTGGGGAAAAAACACAACACGGCTGCTTATCTTTTCCTCCTGTGGTTTTCCGAGAGTAGCTGCAGGGCAAACGAGAGTGGGAAACATGAGAGGAGCCCAACAAGCCTGCTGCAAGCTGTCAGTGGTCTTGTGGATTGTGATATCTGCGGCTACAGTTTATTGTTCGACTAAAACTGCTTTTGAAATCTACAGTCATATTGTTGAAAAAAATCCCACACAAAGATATTTAGTTTACTATGGAAACCACGTGTTATGCACACACTTATTTTATTAGTTTAATCACCTCCACCTACTTTATTCACCATTTTACGCACAGAATAACGCATTGTTTAATTCTAGACTAAGAATTCTGGCCTTTATAGCCCAACAGTGGACCTCAAAATACGCACACATCTGCAAATCTTTAAGCGAAGTAATAATTTAAAAAAAACTTTTATTAGTATTATTATTATATTATTATGTTTTGCATTCGCATTTTTCGCGTACCTTGAAATCTGTGTCCAAAAAATCTGTTCCGTAACACCCAGGGGTAAAAGTTGAGCGGGTCTCGGTGTTGCGTCCCAAAGAAGTGCGGATGCTGTAGGTGGGATCCTCCGAGCTGGTGAGGAGCCACGGTGAGTGAGGGGTGGTTCATCGTCTCCGGGAACACCAGGTCCGGGCTCTGGTAGAGGGACCTGGCCGGTGGTGGAGCCTGGTAACTGTTCATTAAGGCATCTGTCGTCGGGTTGGAGTAACTTAAAGCCGTCGGGCGGATGGGATCCTCCGCCGTTAGAGGGTTCTCTTTAGCGACCAGAGACTCTATCGTGAAGCAGCGCTTGCCTGCAGACGAAAACATCATCTCTCGGTAGAAAGGGAAACCAAAAAGAACGCGATCAGCCTTTATTATTTTCCTTCCTCTTGCTGTAAAGGGAAAAAAAAAAAGAAGCCCACTCTCAGAGAAGCATCATGGCCAAAGATGGTGGGGGTGTTAGGGGGAGGGTGGGTGAAGGGTTTGTCTACACGAGCTCTAAGATGCTGCTAGAAAACTCAACAGTGCTGCAAATTGTCCTGATTCACCGAGCCCGTGCGCGCTCGGAGGGTTTCTGCGCGCAAATGCGCACCAAGAAAAGCGCCCGAAACCTTCCATGTGGCTTGACGTTGCGCGGAAAGAGGGAGCTGATTGGACCAGAGCACCTGCCAATAGGTCTCCTCAAGTACCTGCTTTGTAGATCACACAAGACCGGGCAGCTTAGTTGCAGGGGCACGCTGAGAAAAACTAGCATGCTCCAATTAATGGGTCATTGCATGTCGCGTTCAGCTTTAATGTCAAGTTTTTCTACAGGAGGGGGGAAAAAACTAGTCCGCCTACGGGAGTGAGAAGGTCCCACTCGTCCCACAGCAGATTCATCCAGTTCAGGAATTCTCATAGTGTCAGTATTTGACTGACGCTCGTTAAGAAGTTTTTTTTTTAAAGCTGACTCATCGAGACACTTTGGATCTTTCACCTTTAACGTTTAGGCTCTCTTTCAACTCTCATTACAAACACACGCACACACAAGAGCAAAATTAGATTTATATTATGAGATTTATGTGCCTCTCAGAATAAGACAATACAAAGTTTTATCTTCAAATACCGCTTATTTTTCTTTTATTGAGGTTATTATTATTAATTATTATTACTACAGTCGAAACTCCACGTCTGTCTTTCATGTTTTTATGTGATCTTCATAATATTTTTTTTAAAAAAAACAAACAAACCCGACAACAACAACATGAATCAGTGAAGAATGCTGATTCTGGTGAGTCAGACTCCCTGCAGCAGAGCATCCTTTCTCTCTACAAAGTGAGGTGTCCCGCTGATTGTTTTGTTTTGTTTTTTAAATCAAATTTTCCGTGGATTTGAAATGTTTCTCAATCGGTGCAATAATAAGTGCACGTTCGACTTAACAGCTCCGGTTAAAAAAAGGAGAAAAAGCGAGAAATAATATTTGTTACAGGTGTTCTTTTTAATTTTAGTTTAGAGGTTTTTTTCTGTTTAAAATTTAAGCAAACGTTTTTAAATTTGGTCGAATCAGATCGAAGCATCTTTCAGGTCACAACGTGTATTTGTATTTTTTAATGGTGTGCTCGCGTTTTTATGTTAAAAATTAAGCTCATTTATCATTATTATTATTATTATTATTATTATTATTATTACTTTTTATTGTAAGCACATAACGGCGTCATTAATTTGCCTCGTGTTTTTTTTTTCATATATATTTTTAAGAAAACGTCTGTGAGTTTGTCCTCTGTGAGGACAGTTTAGCAGGAGAAAGTCTGTTTGTCATTACTAGAGCTGCTCCCTCGGCGCTCAGCTTCTATTGCGCGCTAACCAAGTTAATAATTATCCTCTTAATATGCTCCTTCGCGTTGGGGTTGCATTAGAAAATCATTACCGATGGAAATTATGAGGTAAAACAAGCTGTTGATTAGGCTTTTAGAGCTAAAGGCTCCTAAAGACAGCAATCGGTTCTGGGAATGGGTCATTGTTCGAAAAGCTTAATATGGGGCTGTTCCTTGAACACTTCCATTTCTTTTAGTTATAGTAATTACACGGTGCGGATTGTGGCGACGCATAAATGCTATTCAGTTATTTTAACATTCATTCTTGGTGGATCATAAATTCCTAATACAGTTTGCCAGGAAATCATCCACATCTGTGGCATAACTATAAGTGTCTATTGAAAGGTCTGCCGCGAAATAGCTGTAAAATTAAACCCTGGAGTTTTTTTTAACTCTTTAAATTTAACCTTCACAAGTATTTTAGTCTTATAGGTCAGCGGTAAGTTCCACAAGCCTATAGTGGTAGAGAATGTAAGGAGAGATAAGAGGAACAAGGAAACAGCGCCGATGAATACACCGCCTTTACAGGGAAACGTTTCAGGAATCAGTCACGCAGCTCAGTTCTCTATCTAAACAGTCCAAACGGAGCATCAGAAGCAGGAACTTGAAGGATGGCTGAGTGGGTTAAAAATGCCGCTTTGAGTTTAATGATGAAACCCTGTGGGCCTCTACGCGCTGACCCTGATCGCGGCTGGTTAATAGATGATCAAATCGCTCTGCTGTAACAAAAAACAAAGGAAAGCGCTCTAACCTTGTTCCGTACCTGTTGCTGATTTCACCCCCGAGGCCCCCTTATTACTCAGTCTGACCAAAGTGATCTTCAAGAATAGTGCACTGACTGTTTTAATGGATTTGTTTCCTTAAAGCTTTTATAGTGACATTTCAATGTAGCAGCTGCAACAATCTGAAACCTTTTCGAGATCTTAATTCTCATTTAGTGCATTAAGAATCAAATAAAACGAGATAAATGACAACTCTTTAAAGCACCCAACACACGTATGAATATGTCCAGTGTGACCGGAGAAAATAAATCATTGCACATTTTGTGTATTAAGAAAACCCAGAAGACAGATCGGAGATGTTCCAAGATGCAGGTAGCCTGCAGGAGCTAGAAATAACCGGATGGAAGAGTGGGGGGGGGAAAAAACGCTTACGGTAAACCCTAAACAGCCTGCTTTTATCCATAACTTAAAATAAATTTGTATCTTATCATTTTAAATGTTAATCAACTGATATGAAGTGGACAACAACAGCAACAACAACAACAAAATAAATAAATAAATAAATAAATAAATAAATTAATTATAATAATAATAATAATAATAATAATAATAATAATAATAATACATTTTAAACTGTTCAGTTCCTCACAGTGAAAAAAGGAAACAACTGTGAGGAGTGACGGCAGTTTAGATTAGTGCTGTCCTCTAGTGGCGGAAGATTGAAACGCTCTTACAGCTCCCTGAAAAACACCGACTTCTATGTCAATGCTGCCATCTAGCGGTTGAGGTGAGGAACCGTAAGGTTGTAAGGATTTTGAGTTTATCCGCGGAGATCAAAGGGAAGTTGTGACCTCAGCGGTTCCAGGTTGGCGAGGGGCTTCACGAGGGCTTGTAAGTTGGAAAACAAGAAGTTTAAGTTTTAACTGATGCATATTATTTTTTTAATGAAACTTAATGAAATTACTTGTGAATTAAAAGGAAATAACTAAATAAATATTGGGATATTCAGCTTTTGGGGCTGTGTGACAAAGATCAGCGCCGTGTGTTGTCTGCTCGTTCTCCCCTAACGCTGATCAAAGCCATGGGATCAAATCAGTCCGCAGACCGCCTCGGTCCCTTCCTCCGTTCATTAATAAACTAATTAGCCATTTTGTTTCGCATTAGCGTTGTGTGTTCAGCTAATCTCTTCCACTTAAATACTTGGGAAATTTCACCCCATTATAACGAGATGAGAAAAGTAGCACGTCTCTGCGTTTGTGGCACCTGCATAAGAAGTGCGGTCGTTCGGCCACCTGTACGGGCCCCGCTCTTCCACCGGCTCCCCTCAGCATAAACAAACATCCCACTTTGGGATGGGAAGTGCATTAGTGTTAAGATTATATGTTTGAAATCTCAGTTTGGGACGTCAATACAATTAAAATATGACACTTAATTGATGAAAGGTTTTGCTGTCGAACGTAAAAGTTGCACAGTCGGTATCCGGCGGTCTTTCTGTTTTAGCCTGCAGCTTGTTTAATGGCGTCCTCCGTCGCTGTATACAACGTTAACAGGAACTGCTGTTTCCTGGCAAAGAAAAGAAGCAGTTTGTTCTCCGAGCATGAGCCCCTCTTGTCCGTGCCCGTGTCAGAAGTCAATGTGCATCTCAAATGCGAGCCTTTCACGTCGAGACAAAGCCCTGCCTCTACTTCAAACGCTTGTAATGAAAGCTAATGACTATTAGATGGAGTAGAGTGGCCCTTACCTCTGCAAATAAAATGCAAAGAGGGATTCCCCCCCTTTACGATCGCCTGCTCTAAAACGCATGTTGGTTAAAGCGTGAGTGCGCTCTCCATTGAGGCTGCAGGTCGTTGAATTCCATGAGAACTTTCACACCTCATCAAAGCTGCATTACAATCTGAAGGCGAAGAAGAACTCATGGGAGTCATGTGACGAACTGTATTTAAATTTTTTGGTGGGGAGAAACTCAGTAGCCAATTAATTAGGTACACCAGACAATATAAAACAGCTAGTATAAAACAGGCCTCACTGGTGCAAATAAGGATCATCATTGCCACTAATAATCCTCAAAAAAAGTGAGTTCAATATACTACTACTACTACTACTACTAATACTAATAATAATTATTATAATAATTATAATAATGCTTTGGCCTTTGATCTGCTCTTGAGGCCAAGAAAGCGACTTGGAGACATCAGCTTCAACATCAAGAAACTCAGATCAGACTCAAATTGACTATTTCATTCTTAAAATTAGGATTTAGTTGCAATTAATTATTCACTGAAACCCTAATATTGATTCTCCCAACATTTTGAGCTTTGAGCAAAGTTAATAGCTTGAAATGTGCATGCTCTAAACACTAAACCCAGCAAAGAGTGGTCTTTTCTCTTGAGCGAGTTATCAAAACAGTTGCTGATGAGTTGTTTCAGATTAACACAGCTCAACAAAGGCACATTGAAGAGACCCGTGTGGATAGACCAAAATTGCCCACTGTGTTTGTGTCGCCAAGACAAATTGTGTAATGTGCTGAAATGCAAAGCTCACGAGAGCAGATGAGATCGACCGGTCAAGAGACAAGTGAAGATGTTACAGTTTCCTTTCAGAAAAGCCTTCAATTCGGACCCTGCAGAGAGTCTTAAGAAGCACAGTCAGCGCTGGCAAGCATCCAGCCGTTAAGGTGCCCTGTGCTAATTGAGACGATGAGCCCGGTGACCCCCACCGCCCCTCCCCTGGACTCTCTCAGTTTTCCCAGGCCTCTAGCTGCGTCTTTCTGTTCCTCAATGGGATTACGTGGAGCTGTGGACAGAGAAGAGGAGAAGGGGGCTCTGATTCCCGGCTGATCACATCAGAAACGGCTCTCTGTGGTTTTACACAAATTCTGCTCCTTCAGCGGTGCTTAAGCCATAATCAGGCCAAACGGGGGCACCAAGAGAGAGCAGGCAGGGGGTGGCGGACAAGAGACAGTGAAAGAGATCAGCTCTGTTAGCGTTTATTAAACTCTTCTCTTTGATACGGTGACCAGCTGTCTTCTCCTTGTCTCCTTGCACTCTGATATTTAAATTGACAGTTAAATTGATCGGCAGAAAAAGAAATATCTGACTTGATTTTGTTGAACTTTTTGTAGTGAATTAGTCAGCTTGAGTGGCCTGTTGGTCAGAAACATATAGTATATTGCATGGGAAAGGAAACCTTTATGCTAAAATACATTTTGCACGCAGAAACAAGTGTATCTGCATCTGGAGTTGTTCTGTTGATTGAATATGATTATGTGACTTGTGTGTGCTTTTTTCTTCCAAATGTCATGTTTGTGTAATTGTTCTTTGCCTCGGGTAAAATAACGTGAGCATAGAAACTAAATTATACATTTAAATCATCACTTTCAGCAACCAAATTTGTTACCATAGAAGCAAAGAAGCCTAACCCCTTCATATAATTAGTTACATCAGGGGTATCAAACATAAGGCCTGGGGGCCCAACTTGGCCCAGCGAAGACTCCACGCTTGTGAAGGAGTGCATAGCTTTAGCTAGGAACTTTTTTTAGCTGTATTTTTATAGGTTTTCCAGCTTTTCCTGTTGATAAAGACAACCTTCCCACTGGTATTCACACTATACCAAAGTAATTCAGTAAAAGATAAACAATTAAATGACAGAAACATTCCAGGTCACATTAAAAAAAAAAAGGGGGGGGGGTGAAGAAAAGAAAACCTCCCCAGACATTTTTCAGAGAAATAATAAAAACATTATATTTTAGAATTACAGGACAGTCTGGGCAATGAACTACCAAGACTTTTTCTTTCATTTTACTCATTTATCTTGTAATTTCACTTGGCCAACCCACTGAAGATCAAAGTAGCTGTATGTGACCTAGAACTAAAATCTATTTGACATCCCTGACTTGTACCTTCTGTTGTCCCTATGACGATGCATTTGTTAACATGAAATGTGTCATCATGTTTTTAAGATTATAGAGGTAGACGCTGTGTGTTCCCATCAGCCTTCTTTGTTTAATGTGAGCGAGTTTCAGTTGACCACCCCAATTACCTGCTCTGATGGACACATATCCTTTCTACGTGCCGTCTTCTCTTCTGTTTTATCCCTCGTGTCTGCCAGGCAGACAGCATGAGTCCCTTTCGTTTCAATAGAGCAGAGACAGGACACCTGCTGGCGGTGGGTGGGCATGTGGAAGCCCTGTCCACTGAGAAACAGTGAGAACGGTCGTATTGACCATTTAAACAGATTAAACAGTGAGACCCAGCTCTCTTGCTCCGAGACACAGTGACCCCTACCACCCTGGGTTACAGATATCCCAGCTAATCCCTGAGCTGGTTATTTATTTGCTTAGCTTAAACCAGAGGGGAACCTAGACTTTACATTGGATCGAACCTGGAAGGAAATATCTCCCATCATCCTCAGACTTGGCAGAGTGAGATGAGAGGGAAATGAGCAAAGTCCAGAAAGACACAAGAATGACCTGCTTAGGACACATTAAAGATGAACATTGCTCCATGTAGCAAAGATGAAAGTTCATTTATTTGTTAAATAAAACTCTGAAATATCTAAATGATGCCTCTGAAAACAGGATTTCAAGTCTTTCTCTAAAACACTAAGTGAACCAGATTTGAAGTTAATGTGCCATGTATTTTTTTAACCCCTCAAACATGAATTCATTTGCTTCTTCATAACTGTGTGATCACATTTCACTGACAATGAATAATGAACCCCAGCAAACATCCAGCAAATTCACTCAAACTATTAAAAATTCAGATTTGAAGAACATGATGTAACATGTCTCTGCTTCCCAAACAAACTTTAAGCTGCTGAGTTTGCTGCTGTTGCCTTAAACTTCTAAAATCTCTCTAATTGGATATAAAGGAATGAACAGGACAGGTTTTGCATTCATTTCATAAAATATATTTTCTTAATATTTCAGATATACAAAAACAAACTCATCAAAAGGGCAATAAATGTAGACAATTAAATAAAAAACTATAAATCTATTAAATATTTTTAGTTGGAGACTATTAGCCTCTTTTCTCAGATATATATATGTACATATATATATTTTTAAAAAAGTCCTCTTTTTTATTGTAGTCAAAGGTCCGGTGGTTGGTTCAGCAGTGCTCATTGGAGTCGTCAGATACGTCAATATCCACATCCGAATCGGAGAACTCTTCATCCTCATCGCCCTCATCTCCGTTCCCTTGAGATCCGGGGCTTTTCGGTGGAGCAGCCAGGCCCAGTTTGGCCAGTTTGGCCTGCTGCTGTTCTAGACTCTGTTTGCGCCACTTGATGCGTCTGTTCTGAAACCAGACTTTGACCTATGGGGTAAAAAAGAAGAAGAAAGAAGACACTTAGAAATCGTACTTTTACCTTAAGACGACTAAGTTGTTGAGATGTCTGAAAGAATACCTAAACTATGTGTTTTCCGGTAAGATTTTATTACCTGAGCTTCGGTGAGCTGCAGAGAAGACGCTAGGAGGAATCTCTCCGATCCGACCATGTACTGCTGCCGGGCGAACTCTTTCTCCAGGCGGGATAGCTGCTCGCTGGTGAAGCTGGTGCGCATCCTCTTTGACTTCCCACCTTTCGTTTTGAGCGAATGTAGCCCCACGTTGATTTTGGGCATTGCAGCTGCAGAACAGATGAAACATATAATCACACACACACTGCCGCGTAAAGGTCTCCGTTTCTACAGACAAACTACTTTTCGGATGTTTTTGTTTTTGTTTGTTTGTTTGTTTTTACCTTGAGCGTAAAGTGCGCCTCGACACGATGGCTGGTAGGTGAAAGGTGAGTAACAGTAGACGGAATATCCAGGTTGCGTGTGGATCGCTGAGTGTAACACGTTGGGTGAGGAGTAGACCCACGGAGCTGGTCCTATCGGTAAGCCTACGTGTCCGGTAAAAGGCAGAGATGGTGCTGCTGGCTCGTATTTTACTCCGCACTTAGCAGGACTCGTGCGGCCGCTGGTTGTGTCCTCGGGTTTGGCGAGCAAAGCCTCAATAGTAAAAGATTTCCCACTGGGTGGTTTCGACTCGCACTGCCCTCCCTGGTAGTGCAGGTGCAGCGACGCAGGTGCGCAATTACGCACGGAGTATCCATAAGCTCCGATCGGTACCTGCATGCTGACGGTTGTTTAAAATTAGTTTATGAAGGTCTCTGCTGAAAAAAAAGTTGCTTCTCCAAGTCCAGCAGGAAGGTGAATGCTGTTCCTCTGCGGAGTGTCTCAATTTATAGTCCAGAGGCGCACGGAGGTGTCAACAGCCCCCCGCCAGCCCTTTGTCTTTCTAAGTAGCAGATGAGAGGCGAACATCCCGACAAGGTATCCAATTAATTGCTGGAGTAATACAAGCTGGGATTGTCAAACATCCTAACCCTTTGAATGAGCAGCCTTTTGAAGAGGGCTGGGGGGGCTGGGACTCAAGAGATTTGCTAGAGTACAAATTCTTGCATGGATCTTAAGTCCAAATGTAATCATCACCGCTGGGAAAGCCTTGATGTTACCAAATCATCTTATTTTTGTGTCCTTTAAGTTCAGGCTGGTCGACAGATGCTTTAAGCACTTCATAATTGGAAACCTTCTTTAAGCTACAGAGAAAGGGAATGTTGTGTTGCTTTCTGTTTTTGTATCCTGTATTCTGAATTCCACGCTAAGATACGTGTTTGCAGTTGTAAATCAAGCACTGCGTCTGTGTGTTAACAGTTTGTGATGCGTTTCCGGTATAAAACGAATGCACTCTATTCCCAAAGTGTTTATTTTAGCAGCAACGGTGTGGTTCTTGAAACTGAATAACAGCCCTGCGTAATTGAGGCGTCATATTTAGCGGGTGAGCGCAGCGCTGCAGGTTTTACCAAACTGCAGCTCCGCTAATCTCAATTACTCCGTTAATCCACATGCTGATCTGTCCCGTCCTTTAGCTCCTCAGAGAAGGCAAGGCTTTGGTTGATTTCTCAAACAATCTAAAGTTGCTCTGAATCTGAGCCCTAAATCTGAGGTCGGGTTGGTTTATGGTCTAAAAATACTAAATGTGGAGTATTATCACTGCACAGCTATTTTGCATACATTTATTTTATTTTATTTTTTAAAAAAACTTGTTAGGTTTTTTCTTTCTTTTTTGTTTAAGGGGGTGATTTTACACTAACTCTAGGACAAAAAAACTTCCTCTCTTTCAACCCGGATTATTGCCAGCTCTGCAAACTTTCCAGGCTCATTTCCATCATTTGGACGTGGCAGAGAGCGCCTCCCGAGCCTTAAGTAACTGTTAAAACACATTTAAACACCGAAGCGAAACGCTCATTCCCTTTGACCTCCGTTCGATCTGTTTATTCTCTTTGGCTGACACTAGAATGTCTAATGAAGAGGGCAAACACAGACTTTCTCGAGTCGGCCTGAACAATAAAGGATCCTTCTTCTGATGCCTATACGACCGGACCACCCACCCCATGACCGGTGTTTACTGGCGTGTACTGCGGAAAACCTCTGCCCCGACGAGTCCTTTAATTCACATTTAGTCTTGAAAAGGAAAAGCTTTAAGTTGGTGCGCAAATGTAAGCCATTTCAGAGTTAAAACAACGTTGGGAATTATTTGTCGACTAAGGCCTTATTTTCTGACGCAGAGAAAAGGACTATTGTAGTGTCAAAAAATTATCAAAAGAAGTGAAAAATACATAAATTATTAACTTCACATTCTTCCTGTGAGGCCAAGACAATTAATAAGCAAATACAAAAATAGTCTAGGTCTATATAAGAGACATTTAGATCCAAAAGTTATGTTATAATATGTTAATGTGTATATTTCAAGGATTCTTTTCTGTCAAGATGGACAAAAGTGGAATATAGAACATAAATACATTCTTTGATGGATTCACATTGAGCTGTGGGGACTGGTGATGGACATTTCCTGCATTTTCTGGACAATTTAGGCTAAAAAAGAGAATCGAATAAATTCCATTTTAAGTCTGAACTATGTTTAATATATTTCTTTTTCATTTTCAGCCAAATCCTCCAATATTTCAGCTGTAAATATTTAATCTAATAACATTACTTCATCTTCAACAACACTCTTTTTCTTTATATTGAGAGTTAACCTGAAATAAAATCCCTCTCTGGGTCAAGGTAGTCACAGAGCATGCTTGTGTATTGGAGCCAGACAGGGAATACACGCGCCTTTGTCCAGGGGAGTTCCCTTTTCATAGTCATGGCTCGAGAGAAGAAAGACAACTAAGGGCTGCTCTCTAATAGCTCCGTGGGCCACCCTTCCCAAATGAGGCTCTCAGCAGAAGCTTGAAACTCATCAGCATCACTTAGTCATTCAGCATCTGGCTGCATGTAGTGATGGCTCATGTTTCTCTCGCCTCTTGGTATTTGTTTTACTTCTGTGAGTGATGCAAAACTCTACCAAGATAAAGGGGTCATACAGTAAAATCAACCCTCCACACACACTTGGTGAACAACCAAAACTCCATCTAATTAACATGATGCATAAATGGTAAATGGCCTGTATTTGTATAGCGCTTTACACATCCAGTCATCCACCCATTCACACACACATTCACACACAATCTTAAAATTTCATAGAAAGTGAAACATTTTCATACATCAGAGTTTTAACGGCAGTTTGTGGAATATGAGAGATCCATTAGCTGCTCTGACAGATGCCATTAATGTTATGTTACAACCAACAAGCATGCAAGCCTTCGCTTCTACAGGGAGAAAAAAATCACAGTATCTGTCAATGATGGGTGGCATTTAGATTCTCATTTTATTTGCGATTCAGTCAGTTGTGAAAGTTTACCCAAGGAGCAGTCACAAACATAGACAATAAAGGTGCTGTTTTTAATCAAAAGCATACAAGAATCATAAAAAACACAAGAGCTGTCAGCAGAAATGAACCTCACATTCTCACATTTGGTATACAATCATGTTGTGTAATAAATACTTGTATGAAAGATAATTCACCTACAGTTTAAGTAGCATGAAATAAAATAAAACAATCAATTAAAAGTTCCAACAAAACACGGCAACTGGAGATGTAAGCCTACTCTTGCCTACATGCTTCTGATTTCCTGTTTTACTTTCAGTTACAAGTTACTGCGAGGTTTTCAGGATCAAAGCCGTCATTTTAAAACAATGGATGTCAGAAATATTACTCCAGCTCATGGGCACATGACAGAGGAGTGAGAGCTATACAACTCTGTTTAGCTCTGTGCACATGCAGCTGAATGAGACAAAAGCAAAGAGAAACACTATCATCATCATCATCATTATTACCGCTGCAGTGAAAGGGATCTTTTTCTCACCTGCTCGACATATTTAACATACACTGTAATCTCAGTCTTTCCTGTCTCCACACATTCCCCACTAATGACTTTATGAAGCTACTTACTAAACGATCAAGAACGACTTGTTTCTATCACTTTGCCACTGGGAGTCATTAGGTATTACAGGGGCCTGCTGGGCTCTGGCCCTCACCTTGACTATGAATGAGAGTCCAGTGAATGGGCAGGTACGCCGTCTGACTCCAATACACATTCAGGGACTGCTGTGGGCTGTGACTGTAGTTGGTCAATGAAGAACCTCACACGCCCTAAAGATGAAACCATAACATGAGACTGTTTTTCAAAATTGTTACTTTCTAAGTGTTTTTTTTATTTTTAATTTCTTAAAAAAGCGAGTTGACCTGCTAGAAGTGGACAGCTTTAAAATCCGCTTCAGTGCTTGAACCTCAGGGGTTACTGTTTAAGGAAGTGTGAAGAGGCAGGACACAGAAATATTGAGATATATTAACAAAAAACAA